ATAAATTATCCAAACTAAAATTTAAAAATTTATGTTAAAAATTTAAATATTTCAATAACATTTGAAATGTGTCCACCCCTACGCAATACTATTACTGACAGTTAAATGAGAAATACACCTGTTGGTGCCCTTCTTCGTATATTATTACTGTCGTACGTTCGAGGTTGGGCACCTCGGACCTATCCTTACATATACATAATTACGTATGTTAAAGGTGGCTAGAATTGAGAATTTGTTTACAAGTATATATGCAAAATCATCCAACAGTATAAAGTATATATATGTAGGATATTAGGATTCATTATTGATTTTACTACTTTTTACATTGACTTTTTAGTGACTATGAATTGATAAGAGCATTTCTGTATTGGTGAAGGAAGTTTGCACATAGTCTAAAAGATACTTAACAAGAACAACACTTTGCATAGAAAAACAGATTGGATAATGACAAGAAATGCTTTTTTAAATTTTGAATTAGTATAAAGAGATATCTTAAAGAAAGTTTACTTGCTATTAATTCTATTCTACCTACTTAACTGTACTTTTATTTGAGCTTTGCTACAGGCTTCATAACTTTTGTTGTAAGTTTAATTGTTAGGCTTCACTGGTTTCATTGTGGGTGAACTTCATTACAATATACTTTTGAGGTATTGATTTAGTTTCCATTGTATTTTGTAAGTGTATTCTTGCAAGACACATTTGATAATGTGTTATGTAACATGAGACAATTCTCATTTCTTCAAGTTGAATTTTGATGGCAGAAACCTCCTGTGGCAAATTCCTTATATTGAGGTTGTGTCATCCATGTTATTCGTGAATCATATATGGCATTGGATACTATGATTATAATAAGACACAATATCGTCAGTATTTTGTTATTTTTGATTGTATCCCTGAGCAGTTAAATATGCATATATTGTGGGGTTAAGATAATTCGGATTAAATTCTCTAAAATTCACTGTTATATTTTTCTTTTAAGTAATGATATATCATTTCACTGCTAATTTTCTTTTAATATTAAATTTTTATTTTATTTTTTTAATTTCAAAGGCCCGGGCATTGGTCGGGGTATTAACTAGTTTATATTTATATTCTTTGGTCTCTGAAGGGGCAATAATATGATTTGGACTGAATAAAATAAAACAGGAGTCGGTCCACAATGTTATTATTTATATTTGTATTCTTCATTCTCTAACGGTGCAATAATATGATTTTTCTTAGATATTATATTATACAAAAAATTGTTTAATTACTTTCCGAAATTGTTCTAAATTAAACAATACTAAGGGTGGGTATTTGGTTCAAATTACTTGAACTAAACTAAAATTTTGATTATTGAAAAAAAAAAAAATTCAGATGACGCTTTCATACCAAATCCTAATCAAATTTAGTTAGTTAATTAAAATAAT